TGAATACTGTAAGAATGGTTACTTACGTTTATACATGGCTGCAATCATGAACAAATTTTAGAGTAATGAGCAATTCACACTTCCACACCCGGTCACAACTGTAGTGAGTTATTGGTGCAAATGTTGATTGCTGAGTCTCTCTCTCTCACACACACACACACACACACACACACACACACACACACACACACACACACACACACACACACACACACACACACACACACATACAAATTCATACACACACACACATAAACACACACACACACACACACAAACTCATACAACAACAGGCCTAGTGTCTAATCGACTTGTGCCTAGGACAAAATGGTAACACCTACACACCTACAACAGGCCTAGTGTCTAATCGACATGTGCCTAGGACAAAATGGTAACTAACTAACACACACACGCACACACACTCATACACACACACACACTCATACACACACACAGTGGGTGCCTGTGACCAGCAGGGTCCCACAGGGGTCAGTCCTAAGACCAGTGCTGTTTCTGGTATTTGTGAACGACATGACGGAAGGAATAGACTCTGAGGTGTCCCTGTTTGCAGATGACGTGAAGTTGATGAAAAGAATTGATTCGATCAAAGACCAGGCAGAAGTACAAAGGGATCTGGACAGGCTGCAGACTTAGTCCAGCAATTGGCTCCTGGAGTTCAATCCCACCAAGTGCAAAGTCATGAAGATTGGGGAAGGGCAAAGATGACCGCAGACAGAGTACAGTCTATAGGCTAGAGACTACAAACCTCGCTCAAGGAAAAAGATCTTGGGGTGAGCATAACACCAAGCACATCTGAAGTGCACATCAACCAAATAACTGCTGCAGCATATGGGCACCTAGCAAACCTCAGAACAGCATTCCAACATCTTAATAAGGAATTGTTCAGGACCCTGTACACCGTGTACGTTAGGCCCATATTGGAGTATGCGGCACCAGTTTGAAACCCACACCTAGCCAAGCAAAAAAGAAACTAGAGAAAGTGCAAAGGTTTGCAACAAGACTAGTCCCAGAGCTAAGAGGTATGTCCTACGAAGAGAAGTTAAGGGAAATCAACCTGACAACACTGGAGGACAGGAGAGATAGGGGGGGCATGATAATGACTTATACAAAATACTGAGAGAAATTGACAAGGTGGACAAAGACAGGATGTTCCAGAGATTGGACACAGTAACTAGGGGACACAGTTGGAAGTTTAAGACACAGATGAGTCACAAGGGTGTTAAGAAGTATTTCTTCAGCCACAGAGTAGTCATGAAGTGGAATAGTTTGGGAAGCGATGTAGTGGAGGCAGGATCCATACATAGCTTTAAGCAGAGGTATGATAAAGCTCATGGTTCAGCTAGGAAGTCCTCTCTCAATGTGAACAAGGAAAATGATAATAACCAGCAACAATTAATACGTAAATCCAGAAAGGGCAATAAGTGGAGAGAGTAGCATAATTGGGAAAGATAAATGAGACTAAATTTGTGCCTACACGATGGATCTTTCAACCACACCACCTACCCCCCCATAACCCTCCCTCCCTCACACACAAGCACACACTAATCGACATGGGGCCTAGGACAAAATGGTAACTAACACACACACACACACAACAACAACAACAACAGGCCTAGTGTCTAATCGACTTGTGCCTAGGACAAAATGGTAAAAACCTAACACCTGCAACAGGCCTAGTGTCTAAATCGACATGTGCCTGGGAACAAAATGGAAACTAACTAACACACTCATACTCACACACAACACACACACACACCACACACACACACAACACACACACACACACCACACACACACACACACACACACAAACTCATACACACACACGCACACACACTCATACACACACCACACTCCATATCACACACAACACAACACTCATACTCACACACACACACACACACACAAAACACACACACACACACACACACACTCATACACATACACACACACACACACACACACACACACACACACACACAACACACACACACACACCACACACAAAAACACACCACATGCACATATGTGGTAAGCTTTTATTTACAGCTAGCAAAGTCAGGGTATTTCTCCAGAATGGTCTGTAATATACCACTGTGGATAAAATACTTAGGCCTTCTTGAACATTCTGAGTGAGTTGTTTCTAAATTCTAATTTTATCGCAACTCCAGTAATAATGGAACCCGGGTTGTGACAATAATCCATCTGGCCCAAAGTTTACATTTCGTTTGGTCTACATCTGGTGGTGGTGATTTAACCTGCCAAAGATACTTGTAACCCAGCCGGAGCCGGGCGGTAGTGACATCCAAGAGTCTGCTTATTTTGTTGGATGCACCATAGACATGTGGCTCCTCCTGCATGATAGAATGATGGACTCACTGGTGTCAATCTCCCTGAGCCTTAAGCCCAAATAAAATTCAGCTGAAGTTCTTTTCGTATTATTGTTATCAAACTACTACCTGACAAGCCAAGATTGTAATCTACTCCCTCTTTGAAGCATACAGCTTAGCCAATTTATCAGTTCTATCATGCTTTGAAGCCCAATGTGAGATGAATCCACAGCATGTGCACTCTGACTCCACTGTCCACAAAACCTACCATACCCGTGTCTGGCTTCTGACACAAGCAAAGCCACAATTTATGCTTAATGAGTTAGGCATTTATGGATGACAGAGAAACAGTTACAATTAAACTGCCAATCTTTGATAAAATAGATGCATTTCAGTGCAAGGAGTATGGCAAACAGTTCTGTCTGAAGGGTAGAGGGCCCCAATTATTGATGCGTGCTCCAATTTCTTTAACCGAGCCATCACTCTGTACGACAACAGCAGCACTACCAGCTGCACCAATGGATTGGTGAACAGAACCATCAACGTAAAAAATTTGCGAGAGTGTGTGCTGTGTGACTAAGTTTTCAATACACTTAAGGCCTCATGTTTGGCTTCAAGGCGAAGTTTTGGTTGTGATTTAAGAAGTATTTGGGGGGAAATGGGGGAATGGGAGTTGGAATGGGGTAATAAATTTCCCTGGAGCGGAGAAAATGCCGCTGTTTTCCTTACTTGACATAGATCATGTATCTGATTCATGCGGAGGTCGGTTCCAGTCTTTTCGATCCATCTGGAGGAGTGTTCACCAGTGCTGAGGAAAGTTTGGAGGGCTTCTGTGCAGGGGTTTGAATGAGCTTGCCTGAGCATATTAACCCCAATTAGGATATTTCTTTCAGTAACACGATCTCTGATGCTTGGAATATCAAGTTCTTTTTGCATATTTAAAATTTTGGCAGTACGAGGGCATCCTAGGATGATCCTCATTGCTTCGTTCTGCAGTTTTTCCAGCCCTCCAAGCTTCCAGTCAGACACAAGAGCAAGTAGTGGTGCAGCATAATCAACAAATAATTATGTGATTAGTTTTGCTGATGATATAATGATTCACACCACCGGATTCTCCAACACCCAAAACATTCTTAATCATGTACTAGCCTCGTGTCAGGACCTGGGGTTGATAATCTCTACTGATAAAACAAAGATACTCAATAGGCGTCCTCCTAGACAGAGAGGCACAGTTCGTCAGATCCAATTGCATGATGGGTCTCTTCTAGAATATGTAAACACGAGGAAATTAAATCTTCATCAGAGTACAAAACAAATTCTGGCCACAAAATAGAGCGAAACACCAACGTCAAAGACCTGGGAGTGATCATGTCGGAGGATCTCACCTTCAAGGACCATAACATTGTATCAATCGCATCTGCTGGAAAAATGACAGGATGGATAATGAGAACCTTCAAAACTAGGGAGGCCAAGCCCATGATGACACTCTTCAGGTCACTTGTTCTATCTAGGCGGGAATATTGCTGCACACTAACAGCACCATTCAAGGCAGGTGAAATTGCTGACCTAGAAAATGTACAGAGAACCTTCACGGCGCGCATAACGGAGATAAAACACCTCAATTACTGGGAGCGCTGGGGTTTCCCTGAACCTGTATTCCCTGGAACGCAGGCGGGAGAGATACATGATTATATAACCTGGAAAATCCTAGAGGGACTAGTCCCGAACTTGCACACGAAAATCACTCACTACGAAAGCAAAAGACTTGGCAGACGATGCAACATCCCCCCAATGAAAAGCAGGGGTGTCACTAGCACGTTAAGAGACCATACAGTAAGTGTCAGGGGCCCAAGACTGTTCAACTGCCTCCCAGCATACATAAGGGGGATTATCAACAGACCCCTGGCAGTCTTCAAGCTGGCACTGGACAAGCACCTAAAGTCGGTTCCTGATCAGCTGGGCTGTGGCTCGTACGTTGGTTTGCGTGCAGCCAGCAGTAACAGCCTGGTTGATCAGGCTCTGATCCACCAGGAGGCCTGGTCACAGACCGGGCCGCGGGGGAGTTGACCCCCGGAACTCTCTCCAGGTAAACTCCAGGTCCAGGTAAGGGGGAGCGCTAAACCCGTAGGATTATGCAGCGCCTGTGGGGGGGGGGGATGTGGAAGGTTCACAATATGATGGCACGTCATAGGGGCTTCTTGCAGTTCCATGAGTCTGGTCCCCTCAAGGGAGGTTCCTTGATGTTGGTGATGGGCTCTTGATCTAGGGAATTAGATCTGTACTCCAGTTCCCTGAATGCCTTCCAACCCCCCTCCCCACATGCGCTGTATAATCCTATGGGTTTAGCGCTCCTCATGATTATAATAATCCATGAGTCTGGGCCTGGGGGCAGAGTGTATAGGCATGTCATTTATTGCCTTTTCAAAGTCTTGTGGAGTTAGGATAATATCCGAGATTTTTGAAATGACCATCTTATTATTATACTATAAAGGAGATATACTAGGAATAAGGTAAAATGAGTTATTTATATTTAGAAAGTAAGTTTATTTAAGCAATTATCATACATAGTGAAAATTACTTAAGATAACCCCCAAAAAAGTCAGACAAAGTAACTTATATCCTTTATCCCTACATAATGCTCCAATGTATCCCTGAGGTGGTATACAGTTAGGTGATACTGCAGCTTATTAATGATCCTCGTGGAGGCCATAAGCTTTAAATTTGATAAAAGAAGCAGTGTAGTGTGCACACTCACTCCCTCTACGAGGCTCCACCAACACTACTACTCACCAGCTGAAAATAAAGGCAGTATATAATGGCTTAAAGGAGCAGCCTGGCGCTTCATTACCCTCCTCATCACCAAGATGGCAACACTACACTTGGGACTCCGTGTTAACTCCACAAAACTAGAAAAAGTAACGCTTAATAATGTTAATTTAAGCGACACAGTGGATACTATCAGGCAGCAAGCGGCTTCCAAGAGTAAAACCTCAGCAGACAAGATACGTGAGTATTTTAATACAGGGAATTGTTATTTCGGGGATAACTTCGCCATTTTATGGACGTGTGTAATAGTGTTAATCAAATATAAATTGTTGATTGTTCGGCTTTGATTTTCCCCGAGGATTGAGGTGACCTTAGTCTGAGATTTAAAGCATTTTGATGAGGGAGAGAAGGAATCTTTCAGGCATTGTCAGTTACTTAGGTACTGGTACATAAGTACAGTTACACGAATTTAGGTGATGACAGTTATCATATTTATAGTAACATGCGTAAATTACCCACCAGAATAACCCAGGAAAGTTTGATGAAGTGACTTACTTTCATTGGGGTACTTGTAATGTATTTATATCTTAGCAGTAAAGAAACCTCCCTGACATAATCATGTCACAATTAGTACAAACTTATGACGCAGTGTCAGTCAATCTTTCCTATTATCAAGGCATAGATCAAGAAAAAGCACATTAAATCAGAAGACAAGTTTTTAATATTAATATTTAATTGTAATAGTATCATGTAAATAAGTTTATTTATCTACAGGTACACAAGTAGTTATACAAATTTGGGTGATTACTATTATCATGCATAGTAATATGTAAATTACCCACCAGGATAACCCCAAAATAACTCAGTGACTTGTTTCCATTGTGGACCCTGAAGTTCAGCTGAAGTTGAAAACTGTTAAGTATTAGGCTAAGGAAAATATTACTGGTTTTGATTATAAGTCAAGAATCTTTGGAAATGTATGCATGTAGTTGGACAAATGACAATTTTCTCTTATTATGGAATTTGAATAAAGATCAAAAATTGTAATGCTCGTGGCTGTATTTAAGGTGACACAGCAATTGCTGTATTTTTTGTTTCTGTCCGAACCTTACTTAACCTAGCTGGAATGTGAATTATTCTAGTTGGGGTTGAACTACAGTTCACCATTTCGTAGACTAATGTATTTATTATTGAAGGCTATTTTTGAAGGATCAGCTTCCCCATGGCCAGTACCAGTACATGTACAAGGTATACAGATCATAGCTGACATCAGTGACATACTACTATATAGAAAGTTCCTTGTTATGCTGAGCATTTCCCGCAAATTAGATCAGTTTTGTCTCAGGGATGCGACCCACACCAGTCCACTAGCATCCAGGTACCTATTTTATTGATAGGTGAACATGGACAGCAGGTGTCTTAAAGGAAACCACATCCTAATGTTTCCACCCATACCGGGGATCGAACTACGGACCTTAGTGTGTGAGCTCATTGCGCTACCAACCGAACTACTAGATACCTTACTCTCCTATACCAGGCCTCCTGAACTTTCAGTTCTACCAATACAATAAAACCCTATTTCCAGTGTTCATTTGGGCATTAAGTTTCAAGCTGCAACCTCTTGTTCTCTTCCGTGCAGCACTGTATAGCCCTTGTGGTTTAGCGCTTCTTTTTGATTATAATAAAAATTTTCTCTTCCATCCAAATGTAGATTAGTCTCCACTTTGAAATAATTCTGAATATCTTGTAGTATTGTGGTCACTTTCACTCCTGATGCAGAACCTGAAATTGACTTTAAATAAGAAATCTGTGGGCCCTTCAAAAGTATAGTATATACAGTACCTACTGTAGTAGGTGTATATATAATAATTAATTCCACAGTTCTCTTGATAAAATGTAGTTATGAAAGTAGCATTCTGCATTATTTTTGTATACCGGTAATCTTGCCGACATTCTGAAGTCAACTTTTGGTCAGGTCTGATATTTTCCTACAGAAGAGTTCTATTGTAAGATTATTGGCAAGCACTGACCTATCCAAACCTGAATTATATTTTTGGATGACTTGTTACATTTTACGTACTTCTATTTTTTAAAATTTGTAATTTTTTACATAATTTTATCAAACTTATCATGGATGTTAAATGACAATAAAAAATATACTCTATCAGCAGATAAGCAATACTTCACTTTTTGTTATAATCCATAACATTATCCTTATAGATCTTATTCTTTATGTGGATAATTAATATGTGCCCAGAAACAATTTTGGTCTATCTACGAAGATTTATTAATTTCTCAACATTCTTCCATTCTCTAAAGGAATTTGTATCCTTTAGTAAAACATTTAAATGTCAATGGATGCAGAGGATCTTTTGGTTTTTGTTCTTTAAAAGCTCAATGTAATCTGAGAAATATGCCTTATGAGTTATTTGTATCTTTGCAGAATTAATTCACTGTGGTGTAGTTCTCAAAGGTTCTGATACTCTGAAGGATGCTGGAATAACATCGGGGGCTATAATTCACTGCTTGCCTAAGTATGGTAAGTCCAACATCATTGTTTATCTGAAGTGTTTATCTCACTCTTTAATGTTGATTTATGACTACTGTGTATTGTACTAAGTAATAGTGTTATGAATGAAGAAAATTCTAGCACGGGCAATGTTAGAAAGTATAAAGAATGCTACTGTATTGCAAATTTAGCAAGAACTGTTAAATTTTATGCTGATGAATTTTATTGTAAAGATGTGCAAGCATTTTAATACAGAGTACCTCAGGTTTATTAAATTAGTTTCAGCATGTAACTATATAAAAAGATGTAGAAATATTGAATAAACCTTGTTGCATGGTAAGAGGCAGTAATGCAACTTTTATCATTGTTTTGCTTGTCTTAATCCACTTTGCCCAGGACTAGTTTTCTTGCATTATTAATAGGAACAAAATCTCTTTAGGTGTATTTATATTCTTCATAAGTAAAGAACTTCAGTATTGTTATATACAAGGAATACATGAAAGTTATTTAAAGATACAGGAGGGCCCCACTTATACAGCAGGTTATGTTATGGGCTACTTCTGTAAAGTAGCCCAGCATTTTGTGTAATTTTCTTTTCTAAATACTATACATGCACTAGATTCATTTAGTAGGTTGGTAGACAGCAACCGCCCAGGGAGGTACTACCGTCCTGCCAAGTGAGTGTAAAACGAAAGCCTGTAATTGTTTTGCATGATGGTAGGATTGCTGGTGTCAGGTATGTCTTGCTACTTCTACTTACACTTAGGTCACACTACACATACATGTACAAGCATATGTATACACACCCCTCTGGGTTTTCTTCTATTTTCTTACTAGTTCTTGTTTATTTTCTCTTACTTCCATGGGGAAGTGGAACAGAATTCTTCCTCCGTAAGCCATGCGTGTTGTAGGAGGCGACTAAAATGCCGGGAGCAAGGGGCTAGTAACCCCTTCTCCTGTATATATTACTAAAGGTAAAAGGAGAAACTTTCTTTTTTCCTTTTGGGTCACCGTGCCTCGGTGGGATACGGCCGGTGTGTTGAAAGAAAGGTTTTTATAAATAAGTATATATGCATGAAATTCCTTTTAATATTTTCAGAGGAGACTACACCAACTGCAGTGCCACTTAGTCTTCCTGAGGTGCAGTCCTTGCTGGTCTCTCTAAGAAATGTTGCAGCTAGCCCAAATTTCCGTGATTTTATTCAGGTGAGTCTTTATTTTTTTATATTTTATCAGAGCCTTGTTAGGGCAGTTTTTTATTTGCTCATAGCTAAAATTTAATTGTGAAAATTAATAGAATGTCTGAATTATTTTTGTACTAGTACTGGACAGTATTCCTCAAAATAGTGCAGTAATCTTTTCACGAGATGTTCAGATTCAAATTTTTTATTTCGGCATGATACAATATTTACACATGCAAGGTTTCAGGTGCGTCTTGCTACTTCTACTTGCACTTAGGTCACACTTCACATACATGTACAAGCATATATACACACACCCCTCTGGGTTTTCTTCTATTTTCTTTCTGGTTCTTGTTTATTTCCTCTTGCCTCCTTGGGGAAGTGGAACAGAATTCTTCCTCTGTAAGCCATGCGTGTTGTAAGAGGCGACTAAAATGCCGGGAGCAAGGGGCTAGTAACCTCTTCTCCTTTATATATTGCTAAATGTAAAAGGAGAAACTTTCATTTTTTATTTTGGGCCACCCTGCCTCGGTGGGATACGGCCGGTGTGTTGAAAGAAAGATACAATATTTGTACACAGATGGGGGCGACATTTAGGTGTACATGCAGAAGCCCTTGTTATGCAGAGCATTGAATATGCAAACAAATTATGCTGGATATGCCAGGAGTAATGGTAGATGTAGAAAAATTAGGATGTATTCTATTTTCAGAAACTTCGTGGCCCAGAAATGGTAGAGAAGATCTTAGTCTCGTGTCCAGTTGCTCGAAGTGATCCCACAGCTCTGGCCATGCTCCAAGATCCAGAGCTCTTCATGGGCCTTACAAACCCTGATAATCTAAGCACGTAAGTTATATTTTGTTAGTGCATATATTGCAATATCCTTCAATACCATGTCTTCTAGGTGTCATTAAACTATATTGCTTCAAATTAGACCGCATGTCAGTATACTAAAATGGCCTCATTTTTAAGAGAAACCATATTATAACAGCCACTTGCTATTTCTCACATGGAAATACTTCTCAGTCTTGGGGAAGGGGAAGTGAGTTAGAGAATTGCAGAAAATATTTAACCAGGTTCAGCAACCATGACTCCATTAGATCATTTGGCCTGTTGAGAAGGCTTGAAATAGAAATACCACTATACTGTAAGAATATTTTTAATGAATAAGATTAGTTTATCATTTACTAGAAATTACTAATTATTAGAAATTACATACAGTATTTACCTTAACCCTTTCAGGGTCCAAGGCCAAAATCTGAAGTCACGCACCAGTGTCCAAGAAATTTTGAAAAAAAAAAAATTATTTTTTCTTACAGAATTAAAGAGCATATTTTTGTGAAGGTAATAAAACAAAAAAAAAATTAGAATCTGATCAGTACTTACCGAGATACAGTGCCAAGAAGTTTGTAGAAAATGATGTGGTGGCGGCAACATCGACGAATTCCACATACGCGTATTATATTATTTTGTTGTTTTAGTTGTTTTTTCTTTTCTTTTCCAATTTTTTTCTATTCCTACTAACATTTGGGGCCTGAGAGACCAATACTGTATATAATGTATATATATAAACTCACTGTATTGAACCTCCATAACGCACTTAAAAGTTTATTTTCATAATTATTGTTTACCACTGTTGTTTATTACATTAAAAATGCACAAATATTGTATTTTTAATACTAATTGTTTATCATATATTTAGACATATTTACAATCACTGGACATGGTTTTAGGAACTGCTGGAGCTTGTGGAACTCTTGAAATAAGGCACAGCGCACAGAGGCACCTTACATTCCTCCACACATAAACAGAGTGTCTTTGCGTCTTTGTTGCCGTTCGTTTTAGTTTTGTGCACAGACAATGCATCTCTTTGAGCAAGATTTTTTTGAGTTGAAGGAAGCCTGTATTATGATGAAATGATCACCTTCTCTTCTCCAAACGCCTTGGGTATATTGTGATGAATTCGAGGCAGGACCATGTTGTATTGCTTGGTTTGTCTTGTTTACCTGGTCTTTCACTTAATGAGTTGTCTGACAACAGGGACAAAACAAAATTCACCATACGGTGGGTCTGTTACCAGTCTGTTTATTTGGTACATATTATATGCATTCAGCATTGAAATGTCCATTGAGATGGAGAAAAGTTTCTTGTAACATTTTGTAACTCTTACGAACACAGTCAACAAAACAATCTGCATGTACACTTGTCAACCAAGCGCATGGTTTGTGTATAATCAATCACTGCACTGGTTTGCGAATACGTTCCATTAGTCACTCGATCAACTTTGCCACTGTCTTGCAATTTCATTACGGTTGAATTGGTTGTAAACAAACTGTGACATCTCGTTTTTGTAATGCCACCGTAATGCCATGATTGTCATTGGCAGGAGGAGTAGTAAAACAACTGCACGTGAATCCACTCGAACACCGCGTTGGAGCATGGGCAGTGTTTTCGGATTTTAGAAAGCACTGTCGCCACACACATCTGTCTTGTTCACTCGCATGAAATCACTGAGTTCAATCTGAGTAATTGGGGCTTGTGTACCAGTTATCGGTCTATATATTGTATTGGCCCCTTACAAGATCAAGATAATGGTGCCATCATGTTCTCATACGTCACCTGATATACCCAATTAACAATCTTTGTATCTTTCAATGTTTACCTACCCGTGTTAATACAACAAAATCCAACACCAGGCCACTGCTCACAATCACTGTGTACTAACATTTTATAGCCAAGGGGTTGGCTCCTCTTGCTCGGTATTATACTGCCTTGAAATGACAGTCTACCTTTGAAACAAATCAAGACTCGTTCAATTACAAGATTCTTGAATGGATTTAACGTATATCCTGAACCTTTAATTTTGTTTGAGATACTGAAAACATTTTCTAATCTTGTATAACCTGTCACTTCCTGTTCAGGCTGTTTTTGTCAGAGAAGGGCAACATAGGTAACAGGTAAGATAAAACCTGTTCACTGGTTATTATTTCACTGAAGGATGGGGTTCAAATATTAAGCCGTCTCGTGGACCAGTATGCGGTTTATATTTGGCTTAATAGACGTTGAGGCATACGATTATTGTTGCAAAAAGCAAATACATTTCTGCACAGAGTTCTCTTTCCACCTGTGTAGTCTTGACTTTGGTGATAGTCGTATTTGCATTGGTTGGTTCTGTAATAATTCTTATTACCTTTCCCTGCCAAATAGTTTCCCATCAATGGCCTGGTCAAGAATAATACTTCTAAGAATTCAGTTCAGTGGCGTGGTTCCAAGGGGACAGGTAGGTTTTTAGTAGAATTACCACTTTTGCGGAGCTCTTCCAAGTTCGGTGGAGGGCTGGGAACACAATTGGGGATTTTGCTGCCAATCCCAGATACGGTTTTGGATGGGGATACCTGGACATCATAGGTGGTTAGTACGGGGTGGTGGTCGGCGGGCTCGGTGGGGGGTGGACGTTCCGCTTTGTCCTTGAACTGTCGAACCGTCAGCAGCGTGGCGTTCGTTCCCGCGTGGCACAGCGAAGTCAGCATGGCGGATTTCTGCCACTGCCAACTTACCACCACCAGCCCCACTCTAACAACATTCCACTGATGCTCTGTGGCTCATCCATGCAAAGTTGTAGCCACCATTCATCCTCACTATCACTACCTAAAAAACGGGTGTAGAGGCCACGGGATGGTACTCCGGGGTAATGTACTCGGGATGTGAACTCCGTCACCTGGGCACAGCATAGGGTACCCCGTATACACTACCGTGCGCATGCGGCGCCGCGAAACGAAACTTTACCGACGCTTCCACTGTGCTGAATATGTTTCATCACCTATACAATTACCGAAATGATCGTTTTTGGAGCGCAATAAAATCACACAATCCACGTCAGATCTTCGTCATTACTGAAGGTCAGAGGCCACGGGCCGGGGAGGAAAATGGGAAATATTATTTTTCCTTACGTTTAGGAACACCCGCCCGGACTGTTGTGGTCACGAGTGCCCCACACCAGAAGGTAGAAGGTCTGAGGATTCGTCGGGGTTTTCTGCACTCTTTATCATATCTGGTCATTATTTTTCGGTCAGTCATTAACTTATCAATGCCGTTAGGGATTAGTAGAATAGAATTTCGTTTCATGTCCACTTTCCTTCAGTGTCAGAAACTATAGACAGGAAGGGAGGGATGTCCCAATTTTCCGGGGGGGGAACGTGTGAAGTGAGAGATGGACTTGCGGCGAGACATGGTGAACAAAGGGTGACTGGGAGCCGGCCGTTCCCGCATTGCTATGCAGGCGCCTAGAGAATTTTTATTTACGGCGCACACCCACGGCGCAGACCATTCTCTCGTATGTAGTTGTATGTAGGCCTATAGGGAATATGGCGCTTTCGCGCTAAATTTTGACGGGCTAGGCTTAGAATTTTGGCGTAGATCTACGTTGGACACTCACCGACAGCCGTTAGATCTACGGACGGACCCCTAAAAGGGTTAAATTGGGGCTTTCTTACAGTACAACTCGGTAATCTAAATTCTGAAACTTTAAAGAACAAAGATGAAAATTTCCCACATAAATTTTTTTAATTTCATTTTTACAAGCTTTGTGCCTGTTCCCTTTTTTTAATTTCAAAATTCCCCTCTTTTGTTTATATGATAACAAGTGTTTAGTTTCTTGCTTCCTCCATGCTCCTGCATCTGTTAAATCCATTTAGTTTTTATCTTGGACATTCTGATTTTTTCAGTTCCTTTCTTTATCTTGTATATACAGTGGGGCCCACCGCTTTATGATCACTTCCAATGCGACCAATTATGTAATGGTGATATTTATGTAAGTGATTTGTTTGTGTATGTTTGGGGGTCTGAAAATGGAATATTCTAATTCACAATATTCCTTTATGGAAATTTCGCTTCAGTACTGGCACCTGAACATGCTTAGGAATGAATAATTATCGTAAACCGGGGGGCGGTCCACTGTTACACTTTAATTTCATTAAAACTGCACTTTTCATGAGCGCTACTAGGATTTTCTTCTCTCCCAGGCCCTTTTATCTAGTGGAAGTGCCTGTGGTTTTTGCTTTCAGTATGCAGTATTGTTCTTTTATCAAAATATAGACTTTGTGCTCTGACATTTAATTTGATTTACTTCCAAACTGAATTCTTTGATGTAATCTGGTTGATTCATGTGGTATTTCTTTTCCTCTTCTCACCTTCCCTCATGATATTGGTTTTTAAACTGGTCAACTCACTTCATTACTTAAACTTAGTATGTATATGGGGCTTATATATATTATCATAATTATTGTGTTCTAAAAATATTTACTGCAAGATTTACTATTCATATAAAAGTAAAATATAGTTTTCCTTTAAATTGGGAAAGTTATAATTATAGGTTATGGGTGTAGTTGTGTTGATTGCTAAAAATGTTGGAAGCGCCACAGACTCGCTTAACTCCTGGTGATTGTTAAGTACCTTCTATTTTATTACATAGTACAGTGGACCCCCCGCTTTCGATCAAGCTCCCAAATGGACCAATTATGCAGTGATATTTATGTTAAGTGCGTTGTTTGTAGCTGTCATGTATTTGGGGCGTCTGAATGGAACTACTAATCTTATTCACAATATTCTTTAATGGGAACAGATTCGTTCAGTAACTGGCACTGGAAATTCTTCGGAAATGAAATTAATATCGTTAAGACTGGGGGGGGTCTCACTGTAATATACAATGATAAAATTGTTGTTATTTTCTAATTGGATATGTGTAGAACATTCAGGCTCTTACCGGAAGCATTAAAGGATAGACAACGTGGCTTGGCCAGTAAGTTAATTTAAATATTGTCAGACTGAAATAAGTTCATTTATTAAAGACTTGTGCATTCATAAGAGTTATTCTTATGGACATTTCATTGAAGTTTTAATTTTTGTGATTTCATTTTTTGTCACTTGTGTAGGAAATAATGTGAAACTTAATTCACTGTCTCTGAGTTCAGTGACTACATTGATGTTTTTTATAAAAAAAATTAAATACCATTTATGCTCCCATATGCCACACAAGTTTGCTCCAATTGTTCGTCAGTGAACTGCTTTTAAAAATTTATTTATGAAATAAGTTTTGAAGATACGTGATCAATTACATTTTTTTTTTTTTCACAGAGTAGTTGATGCTCAGCCAGCTGTTGGAAGGGTTGCCCAGTATGTAGCATCGCTAATGACCAATGAGAACTCCTCTCCTCGTCGCTCCCACCATGTTTCTTATTCTATGGATGCTCTCTCTGATGACGACGAAATGGATGCTGAGCAGGTTTGCTTTAGATTCCCAGTATGGCTTTTTCAAAGACTCCTCCAAACCATTCGATCATGTGATATTTCTTATGACTTTATTACCTGTGAAAAAATACGTACAAAGTTGTTTATTACACTTGTATGTAAAAAATGTTATTAATCCCACAAAATTTAGTGGGAGATTTTTCAATTTTGTTCAAACAAATGTTCATCTATCATTCTGAAGATACTTCACCCACCTTTCATATTTGCTTAAAGGAGAACTCTCCATTGTACTAAACCACAGTCAAAAAATCAAAATTTTTCTGGGGAAAAAGGAAAAAGTTTGGCAAGAGTGCATTTGTATTTTCAAAAGTCAGAAATTTTATGATGGAGGCTTTATACTTTAATGGACTTGATGAGTCACGGAAGAGAGTGTGGGACTTTCTGGACCCAGCTCTAATTTTCCTTGAGAATTGGGAGCCATTTTCCCTACCTTGAAGGATTTGATAAAAAGTAATTGCCGTATACAAAGTTGTGTTAGTATTTATACAAGATGATGAATATGTCTTCCTTATAAACAGTATTTGTTATAAAGAGGATAGGAGTAACTATTACCTAAATCTCTAATTATAATAGATTTTTTCTACTTACTACCTCATTTGTTACCAAATTTACAGTCCTCCATCATTACTGCTTGGAATCCCTAAACCACTCCTTTATTGCCATTTTCTCTTCGCGGTCTGGAGACTCTGCGGGTGTGGTAGTCGTCGAGCTAGTGGCTCGATGCCATTCCAGCCAATTCGCATGCTCTCAGCTTGCTGCAGCTCTTGCTAGTGACACAGGTTAGTTCAGTAAGGTTAGAGCAAAAATTTAAATTTAGTTTAAAAAATTGTTGAAGAGGCCATGGCAGTGGTTTTAGCGTAATGTTTCAAGGAGTTTTTACATTACTGTCATTATGTGCAATGTAGTGAATTCTCTAGAGCACAAAAAAAAAAAAAAAAAAAAATTGTATTGTTATTGTTTCTGGGAAAAAGTATGAAGGGCAAATACTACATTCTCTCTCTGCAGGTAACAGCAACAATGGTAGCAACAACAGACTACCTTCTAGTGCCCCTCGTAGCATTCCCACTACACCATCTGCTGTTACCACTACACCTTTCAACACTCCAGCCCCTTCAGCTGGTTTGCCCCCTTGCAGCCCAGGGCCCATCACCCATGAAATGTTTAGTAATGCCCTTCAGAATGCTCTGGCTGCTTCTGCAAGTCGGGTCAGTTCAAATCTTTATTTTTTTCAATTATTTACAATGACTTCATAAGGAATGGTAAGTGTGGTTCCCCCACATACTAAATTACAATTTTTTTGTAGGCTTCTGGTTCACCTGCTCCTAATAAATCATTTAAGGATAGTTCTCTTTGTGTCATGTTATTGCTTGCTACTTATGCTCACCAAACCAGGTGTATTGAAGGAGAAATTAATTTTGCCATCTCACTTTAATTTCCACACGATAATAGAAGTGTGAAATGGGGTAGCATTATTATCATAACTAAATGCCTAAACCATATAATGGGTCTAAGTAAAACTACGGTAGCAAGTGTTTGTCTCAAACTTGACCCAATGGATTTGAACTAACCACTAATTACCCTGATGACTTTTGGGTTCAGCTGTTCGTACAAGTGCAGTATAATAATAATCCTTACCAGTAGAGTGTAGACATAGTCCAATGTTATTTCACTAAACTGACATGCCTACCCTGCTTTGGGTGTAGGCACTATATTTATCCTTCTGACAGTAGTCTGGATAGCAGGTTTCCTAAAATCCTTTTAGAAGTTTGATCTTACTCATATTTCAACATTTGGTTCAAACAGATTGCCCATTCACTCTAGTTGAACTGTTTGCATAAACCTGTTGAATGTTCAGTTCCTTACTTCTCAGCACATTGAAACTCTTGAATGCTGCATATGCCTTCCATTCCAGATTATACACCCTATTTGCAAACTTCTCTTAAATTTATTCTTTCTACCTTGACCAAACCAACTTGGCAGCTCTTCTTTCAATTTTTGAATTACGTATTTCATATCATTTGTTTCTTATGCCTTAATTTCTGCCACCATTACATTGCACAACATTGATCTCAGATGTGGATATTTTCCACTGCTCTAACTTTTCTTGCAACAATTTTAATACCATTTTTCAAATACTTACACAAGTAAAAAAACAATATTAGGGATGTTTTAGTTTAATTTCTTGTATGGCTTACAGTATTTTTTCATGCACAAATAGTGTGGTATAATGTAGGTTTGTGTCTGATTTTGTGGGATAATTCTAAGCAGGGTTTTGAAACTTGTGATGTGAAACGACTTTTTAAAATTTGCTGTGGGCCCCCAGTGGGCCCTTGGGACCCATTGTAGGATCAGTTTGCATTATAGACATGTGTAAATGTATACCTGATAATTTTGTTATTTTTTTATATTTGTACCATATTTTATTTGTAACTTGGGTTAACCCTTGTTTGAAAACAGGGAAAAGCCTGATGCATGGCTTGAACCAAGAAGAGTGGAAGAGTTGTCTTCAAAAAATATAATTAGCCATTCAGTAATTGGTCTAAATCATTGTTATATATTTGTAATTATTAAAAGGAAATATTAGGTTATTTATGTAGTATTATGTTTGTAAATTATTAATAAGAATCCATGTACCATCACTGTCAGGTATATTAGTAATTATATCCTCTCTATATCTAGTTAGATATTTGTTGTAGACTTTACATAAGGGTTATTTATTTGAGACAGCACTGTCACATAACTATCCAAGGATAACTTTATAATGCTAAAGTAAAAGGACACAAGTGCAATAATGTGATATTTTATTGTGGCAACGTTTCACGCTCAGGAGCTTTGGTCAAGCCGAAAGTTGTCAAGCAAAACATTGCCACATAAAATGACACATAGTTGCACTTCGTGTCCTTTTTTACTTTAACATATTGTCAGTAATTCTTACCAACTTCTTTTATTACGATAATTTAATACCTGAAAAGGGATTAATGCAGGTTTTGTGTAATATATGTGAGAGTTACACCTGTGTTTTTTTAAATTGGTAATTTAGTCTGTATACATTTGTACTATATTGCAGGTTACTGTATTTGTATTATAGATGTATTATTGTATGTATACTGTGATGAAAATGTTGCAGTGAAGTCTCTTAATTTCCTATGTGCATTTTATATAGCTATGCTTCTTGATTTTTTTTTTTTTTTTTTTAACAGGCATTCTGGTCCATCTTCTCGTCGTCTCATAATCAGGTCCTCCGCATTGCCCGCGATCCAGATTCCCAATCTTGAAGATCTTTACAGCTCATGAGGAAATGGGTATCCCAGATGAAGATCTTAGTCTTCAAGCTTTGAATGCCACAAATGGAGATTTGTCAAGCTGCAGTGAATCTCATATTTGCCAGTGGATGGGCTGATGATTCAATTTTTTTTAACAATTCGTTGTGAATTTTATATTCAGTATATTTTTTATCTTTGTTACTTAGTGATAGATTGCTAGTATTTAATATTTCTTACTATAGTTATATTCAATATATTTATTCACTTACTATTAGTTGTTGTAATGTGTCTTGCATTGTTAAACTAAAGGATAGAAACCAGACTAAAATTTATTAATCTATCAGGATAAATATAAAGAAGTTAATAATAAATTCTTATTTACCCCTCATTTTTTCAGGCATTGAATAGTGCACTGTAACAAATTCATATATTTTTTATATTGTCAGTTGGAAAAAGGCATGTCCCTGCAAGAGAACCATATTACCCTTTATGCAGTGTGTGCTGAGGAGTTTGCCTGAACATTAGAATGTAGAGGGACCCCCAGGAACAGAGTATGTAATTCTGTATTTATTGAAAATTGAAGGTACAGTCAGTGTTGAATGTGAAGTATGGTAGAAAGCAAGGAGTTGAAGTATGTATCACTTCTAATGCATTTTGGAAATCCAAAACTTACAAATGAGCCAGATCATTATGGTAGCAGGTATGATAGAGGTAATTAGTTGCATATATTGTAATTTTCTGGAGGGAAGGAGGGGGTAGGGTTAAGGGTTTCATCCTAGGAAAGGATGGAGAGGGGGTTGGGTTATATATTATAAGGTTATAAGTGGTTGTTGGTGTGCAAGGGGCTGGACATGCAGCAGGCATGTGTGAACGTGTTCGGAGTGAATGGAGACGGATGGGTTTTGGGACGAGCTGTTGGAGTGTGAGTAGGGTAATATTTTGTGAAGTAATTCAGGGAAAGGGAGGAATGGTTTTAGACAGACTTGAATCCTGGAGGTGTGAGAAGTACAGTGCCTGCTCCTTTTTGGAGAGGTTTGGGATATTGGCTGTTTGGAGTGACACCTAAACTGTCATATCTGGGCGCCTCTGCAAAGACAGTGATTGTGTGTGAACGATGGTGAATTTTTTTTTTTTTTTTTGTCACCCTGCACTGTATAGTCCTTGTGGCTTAGCGCTTCTTTTTTATTATAATAATAATGTCACCCTGCATCGGTAGGAGACGGCCAACGTGCTAAAAAAAAAAAAAAAAAAAAAAAAAAATCCTGCAGTCCAGTCTGAAATTGTATGAATAGTTTCCAAAGCTAAATACAATGTGAATCGAGTAATTAGTTAAATTCTAAGTCATCTTCAGCATTTGAATCATATGACACTTGTTATTCTACAATATTGTAGTTTACCTGGTGCTGTGGTCAGTTTTGCTAGTTCTATTATTGCAGCCCAAACTGAGGCAAGGTTGCCTTATGCCCTGCTCTGTGGATCTCCTTTTATACAAGAAAATGTTTCAAATGAGGTATTAACATTTCTGTGAAATATAGCTGAATAAAATAAAACTGCTCTTTATTAATAGTTCGATATCAGCCAAGTGAATACAGGTAATGAACAGATATTAACCCTTTCAGGGTCCAAGGCCCAAATCTGAAGTCACGCACCAGTGTCCAAGAAATTTTGACAAAAAAAAAATTATTTTTTCTTACAGGGAATTAAAGGAGCTATTTTTGTGAAGGTATAAAACAAAAAAAAAATAGGATTCTGATCAGTACTTACCGAGATTACAGGCCAAGAAGTTTTGGAGAAATGATGTGGGTGGCCGGACAATCGCGAATTCACATTACGCGTATTATTTATTTTGTTGTTTTAGTTGTTTTTTCTTTTCTTTTCAAATTTTTTCTATTCCTACTAACATTTGGGGCTCTGAAGACCAATACTGTATATAATTTTTATATATAAACCACTGTAATGAACCACAATAACCGCACAAGTTATTATCAATATTATTGTTTACCACTGTTGTTTATTAATAACATGCACAAATATTGTATAATACTAATTTTCTATCTATATTCTACATATTTGACAATCATGGACATGGTATTTGAGCTGCTGGAGCTTGTGGAACTCTTGATACAAAGGCACCATGCACAGAGGCACCTTCATTCCTCACACATAAACCGAGTGTCTTGCGTCTTTGTTGCGTCGTTTGTTTGTGCACAGGACAATGCATCTCTTCTGAGCCAAATTTCTTTTGAGTTGAAGGAAGCTTGTATTATAAATGATCACTCTCTTCTCAAACGTCTTTGGGTATATTGTGATGAATTCGAGGACCTTGTTGTATTGCAGGTGTGTTACCTGGTACTTCTTATGAGTTTGTCTGACAACAGACAAACAAAATTTCCTCGGTGGTCTGTTACCAAGTCTTTATTTGGACATATTATATGCATTCAGCATTTGAAATGTCATGAGATGGAAGAAAAGTTTCATGTACCACTTGTAACCTCTTACGAACACAGTCAACAAAACCAATCTGCATGTCACACTTGTCAACCAAGCGCAGTTTTGTGTATTATCAATCACTGTCACTGGTTTTTCGATACGTTCAATTAGTCACTCGATCAAACTTTGCCTGTCTTGCATTTCATTACGGTGAATGGTTGTCAACATGTGACATCTCGTTAGTCATGCCACCCGTAAATGCCATGCTGTCAATTGGCAGTAGTAAACACCTGCACGTCATCACCCGAACACTGCGTTGAGCCTGGGCATATGTTACGATTAGATCGCACTGTGCCAACACACATCTGTCTTTTCCAACTCGCATGAAATCAATGAGTAATGGGCTTGTGTAAAGTTATCGGTATATAATATTGGCCCTTACCAAGATAAGTTGCCATCATGTTTCCACTAGTCAACTGATATACCCAATTAACATCTTGGTATCTTTTCAA